CCCCAGGGATGGCAAAGGCAAGGACTAAGCAGAACCAGGATGACAGAAACCAAAGTATATGAATCCTGCTAGGAAGGATACGCTACTGGTGTGTTGATCAGGAAAGTGAAGAGACCCAAGAGGCAAAGCACCAGGAGAACAGGAGCTGGCTGCAATGACAGTGATGTGGTCCCATGGACTACTGGTTTTGGCACACTTTTCTCTGGAGTGCAGAAGATCAAGGTTTGCTCTTAACTGAGTTTTGATTAACATGTAGGTTATTAGGACAAGAAGAAAACGGCACAAAGAGGACCGTAACATGCCTTAGGCTGGATTTCTTCTGGGCAGGCTCAGCCTGCTGGTCAGGGCTGGGACACGGCACATGGGGACCAGGGATAAAACCGCAAGAGAAAAACCTGCCACTGAACAAATATCTCCCAGCATAGACATGAGGAAGCGAAGGCTGGAGAGGAGGGGAAATGGAGCAAGGTGCAAACGGCTTCTTCTATCAGGAAAGAAAAAAAATTGCAGCACAAGTGAGAATAGGATCAGGACAAGCTTTAGCAAGTCACTTATAGGCAAAAGAAAGGGAGTTACCAGAAAACATGAAGAACAAGCGGCTAAGAGATAAAGAAGTAAAATTATACCTAAAATGGGAAGCCCACAGAGCTGGAGCTGTTGTATCAGCCAAAAAGCAAAGGGAGCAGGTAGTTGTTGGCTACAGCGCAAGTACATCCCTGCTTGTGTAACTGGCCTGGGACACTCACAAGTGACCCAGTTACAACATGCAGAGTCAACTTCTGTCCACACAGCAACCATTTCCCCCCCCTCAACTCAACCACATGTCCAAGTGCTCGTGCACTGCTCTCCTTGCTCTGCCCATCCGGACCGGTCCCAGCACAATCCGGGAGCCTCCAGGCATCCAACCCATCCTGCCCCCAGGCCAGGAGGCACCCACACAGCGGGGAGAGGGACCAGCAATGTCAGGAGAAACAGGCTAATGGATTGGACCCAAAATCTCACCGAGCAGCTTCCCACAACCACTAGAGCCAGTCACAAGGCAGGATTCAACGAGCAGTTGGGCAAACTCATGGAAGAGGGGTCCACAAAGGACCATCAGTCCTGCACTTGCCCTGCTCCTTCCAAAGCATGCACTCTCAGCTGCTGAGAGACCAGGTAACAGGCAATGCAGACTTTTGGTCCGGGCAGTATAGCTGTGCTAAGCAGAGGCACACACACATTGTCAAGCCAGCTGCCACAGTTGCTCAGCACTTGCCATCCTGGGGTGACAAATCTATGTCAGTACCAGGCTGAAAACTTGAGTAAAGCTGCATGTGAGATAGGACTGTTGGATCACGGAGTCACAGAACAGTTGATTTGGGGAGGGACCTCTGGAGATTGCCTGGTCCAACCCCCCTGCTCAAGCAGGGTCAGTGGGAGTGGGCTGAACAGTGTTAATCATGACAAGCAGAGAAGTTAAGGATTTCTTGGCGCTGGCACATCTCTTTACCCAGGAGATTATTTAGTATATTTGTTAATGTGAAGGAACAGGAGATGAGCAGTGGAAGGGAAAGAAAACCAATCATACAGGTTATTCAAGGGTAAAGAGGCTAATGCAAGCTCCACAGCTCCCAGCACGGGTGCTGTGCAAGCCATACTGGTGTGACAGACAAGGGGATTTGCATCAGAGAGCACCTACAAACTGCAATATGCTGTGAGCTGTCATACACTCTAATCTGCCACTGAAGAGGTCCAGGTGTTGGCATGAGATGTCCCCTGGCAGAGTTTGTTCAGCAGACAGCAGCAGTGACCAAAGG